GAAGGAGGACGAAAATTGCCAGTCCTTCGAACTCGCAGTCCACTGCTTGGTGCATTGGTCCTTTATTCCCAATTGGCAATTGGGCTCCTTCGCGTTAATCGACTCCGTGAAACCTGAACGCCGATTCGGAAGAAAGATGGCGTCAATCGGTATCCATAACTCAATACGAATTAAAGAGCGTTACCCTTAATTAGTTTTTCGTAGCCCATGAAACCTTCATGTTTCCAAAAAAGATTTCTATTCCACACAAGAGCGTCGCCGTCGTCCTCCGAGATGCAAGTTGCTTGTCTGACTGAAGGTCGCCAATCATACTTATCACTCTCTTTACCTCGCATCACAATGATCCATCCCATAGCGTGTTCACAAATTTGGAGGCCGATGGCAACAAACACAATTAGGGTCACGTAATTTTGTGACATTTTGAAAAATTTTCCGACACTACTCTCTGTTAATCCAGTTTCCCTGTATTTACTGTTTATTGTGATTTTTTAGAGTTTACTCAAAAAATTCAATTTCAAATGATCAACGTGTTCACTTAATACGTCACTGTCGATGCAGTTGATTTTACGTTGAATCATACTCGTTCAGGGAATAAGCACTGTGTTGAATGCTGAAATGTCAGACTGACTACTTATACTGTCGGATGACTATTGCTCAGAGGAAAAGGACTTCCTCTTTGTGTGTTTGCGATAAGAGTTTTAACATCCTCGCAATCATTTTCAGGAAACCACGATGATAATTCTTATAAGATCATGTCTTATTGCTGTTAGCCCTATAAGCTTTTAAATAAACTTTTGTCCTTGTTTTTATTATAGGTATGTCAGTTACAAATTTAATCTGCTAGATATACGGGATAGATTTATCTACTTTTGTCAGAAATTAAAATTTATTTTTTTTTATCATACAATTTTTTTATCTTATATATTTAAAGTACAATGCTGACAGTATAGGATTTTTCATTCTAGACAATGCATTTATTCAACAAGTCGTCTTTAGGATGTCCTAAGGACAGCATCTGTCCCATTAGACGTCCCAAAGCCGACTTCTGGACATTGCGTGTTGTTTGGTATAAATAACGACAATACGTCCCTACGCAGGATGTCCTAAGGACAGCATCTGTCCCATTAGACGTCCCAAAGCCGGCTTCTGGACATTGCGTGTTGTTTGGTATAAATAACGACAATGTCCCTACAGGTTATTAAACTCTGAGCAAACGTTAATTATATAATCTTATTTTGCACACAAAAATGAATATGTTCAAATTGTATCCTCGGACTCTCCCGCATTCCCATTAATGTTCCTTCGCATTGAAACAAAAGCATCCGATCAGGGTGAAAATCTTGGAATCCAAGAATGCACGCGCCTGTGTCTGCCGAAGTTGCACCTGGGCGCAAGAAGAGCCAGTAGTGCAAGTCCAGCGCCCAATAAGGAGACGCCACAGAGTGCACCGGCAGTGACGTCATGAAGAGGTGTTCCTGGTCTAGGAGATTTCGCAGCCAGAAGCAGAAGACCTGCGCAGCTCAAAGCTGAAAGTCCTGCCAACCCAAGGCCGGTCCAGGTCCTCCTGAGGGTCCTGCAGGCTCCCGCAAGTGCACAACACGCGCCGCATCCTGTTGCACTGTCGAAATAATATCTGAAAATATGAACATAACATTGTTACTTTGTACTACCAATAAATGATCTCCCTTAACATTAACTGTACCTACTTTCTACCCTGTGTCCACGAAAGATAAATGGCCAGTCCACAGGTCAAAATGCCGACAAGAACAAGAAGCAAAGGTGCGTTTCGCCTTTCGCTCTTTTCTAGCCCACTAGCTAGCGTAGTATTAGCATCGCTGTTAGGAGGTGATAACGGTGGTACCTGAAATTCAATTTTAAGGTTATGGTAAATTTTTTTTGTTTTTGGAAAATATCCCAATAGTCACTTACCACAGCTGTTCTAGCGATGAAAGCACTTTCCACGCTTTGGTAACATCTTTTTTGATCTGTGGGTACAACCTGGTATCGCGGTGACCCTGATACCATTGGCATTGCCTCGTTTCCGGCATCTAGGTAGCCGTAACGAGGAGGCGGGTCGTTGTGACCCAGGCCCGTCAGGTCGACGGGTGCTGTGCCTACGTAACGAAGTCTTCCGCAATTACTGGCGGGACATAGGTCCTGTGGACGACTTGACATGTCCGTGAGAGGTAGACACCTTCTCGCGGATGGTTCCTTGTTGGGTGTCGAGGTCTGAGGTCCATTTGGGGACAAAGCCCTGTTCTGTGGAGTACCTTGGGGCGTGGTACGTTGCGTGGGACTCAAGGTACGTCCTGACAATAATTATTAGGTAGTACCATGTCAATGTGTGGAAATTTTTTATTTAGAAGGTTTGTATTACCCGTAGGTGATCCACCAGGTGTCAATGCTCTGCGACGTGGGGTACCAGTCTGGGTGAGAGAATGCTGCCTCTTCGGGGACAGGGTACGTTCTTCTGATCGTGATCTTGGCTTCCTGGGTGTGGCTAGGATCTCGTGAAGCTTCTGCGTGGCTGAATTGTTCCTGGGGGAGACTGAGAGTCCTTGAAGATTTCGGTCCGGTAGAGCTGGTGGGTCCTCTTCTTGCAGAGGTACTCTGGTGTAGCGTCCTGTTTCACGTAGAATGATGGTCCAGTTGTTGATATCAATTACAGTTTTTGTTGTAATAAAAATATTTGAATTCTAGGTTAAATTATACCTTGTGCCGTGTTTATTGTTCGTCGGACTGGAGAGCCACGGTTACCCGTCCATGATGAGTCCCTGTCCTGGTACTCCTGCTTGCACGGTACAACGGCGTATCTTCCGGCATTTCCGTGGGGTGGTTGCAGCTGCAGTCGCCCGTCGTCCTGGTTGAGCGGCGGCGCGGAACGTAAGGTTTGCTGGTGCGGAACGAAATCATACCTGGAGGAGCCTCTGCGCTGTAGGTTTTCAGGTCGATCTTGTTCTTGAATGTATTCGTATCTGGACACTTGGCCGTATGGGGTTGGAGCGATATGAAGATCGTCCACTGGAAGACTGGCATATCGTCTGTGTGAAGTTTGAGCAACTGGCTGGTCTAGGTAGCAGTATCGATCAGGGACTTCCGGTTGTGTTTGAAAGGCGGGATTGGTCTGACCGTACTGAGGTTGCAACTGTTGGGGTGGCGGAGGTGGTGGAAGATCGTCTCCTTGGAATTGTGGGGGTGGTGGCAACTCGCCATTGTGGTCTAGAGGAATGTATTCTGACTGCTGGCAGAAGGAAGGATTGGTGTAACAGTGTACAGGAGCTGGATCTGTTATTTGAGCCATTTTTTTTTGTGGACAAAAAATATTTTTCAAAAATTCAACTTGGTTCACCAATCACTCGATTGAGACATTAAGATCATCAGACCTGTTCTACTTCGTTCAATCGTATACCACTTCACTATCTTTGGGAACCAGACTCGGCGCCAGCAACTCTTCACACTTATCTCTCTAGTGATCCTTGAAGAGGCAGATAAACATACTCAGGACCCAACTAACAGGCTTCACTAAGGTTTCATCCAGTTGGAATTTCTAGTGTCTCACACGTATGAATTTGCCTTTGGTAATTTCTTAAAAGTACTTTACACCTAGCACTATATTCACTGATTCACTAGAATGATCGTCGCGTTGCTCACATAGCTCACCCTTTCCCACGTTTCCAGGGAGAAAATGACGCTTCGGATTCGGGGTGGTGCGGTTTCCAATATAAAGGGGATGCACTTTTTACACATTTTTGCGTTAAACAATTGACAATCCCTATGCAGCCTCACTTTCGCTCAGTGAATGGGACACTGACTCGGAGTACTTTGGCCGTGACCGGTAACCGCACCTCGAAGTTGAAACGTTCTAGAACCTTTTGAACCGATCAGAACCGTTGCTCTGGAGAAACTGCCTTCGTTCCCTTACAGCAGATGGGCAAGGGCGTTTCTATGCATTTGTGTGAGCACCAATGCGTGGAGGGGTTGTTACGGCGTTCATGCAATACGGGCCCGGTGTCCCCTTCACTGGCGTGGGGCCCAAAGTACTACAGTACCTTCGACCAAAGGAACTTTACCCGATGACTCTTTTGGAAATTCCGCCGCTTTTTCACGAGGTTAGAAATTGTCATTTAATAAAAATAGTCCATTTTTGCTGGTCTTATATAATTTTTATTACGTCACACACAGAAGACGTAGTACAAGAATGTTCTAGAAGAAAATTTCTTAAGTTATACATTTACTTGAAATAGAAAAGAGTTCTCAATGATGCGCATAATTTCTTTGATTTTCGTCTATAATAATATTTCTTATATAAGGCCTGTACTCTAAATCCTCATTTGCGTTCTGTTACAGTTTTACGAAGGAACTGGATAAACCGGTGACAAGATCGTCGTATTTGAATCTGGAAAGGGTTCGCAAAGAAAACGTTGAACGTAACGGAGACACGTGCCCCTACAAATTCACTGGGCCGGGTAGTGCTCGATCATCCTGCGAAGAAGACTACGAACTCTCACTGAGTGAAGTATAGTTGGATTTTTTTTCGACAGCTGCAGCGACCGTTGGGACGCGTGCCCAGATCGGGCCAGCTGCCCCAATACCTATATATGCATCTTCGAATGCAAACACACAGCTTCACTCTGGGTATCGGATACTCTGTCAACACTGAAAATGGACAGACTAATGTCATAACAATAAAGTATAAAATTATAAAAATAATTTAGTAAAATTTTCGAAAACTAAAAAAAAATCATCCGTGTACCCCTTTGACAAAGGAGAATACAAAAGTCAATACAATGTGTCGTATTGACTATTTTAAAATTTTCCTTTTTTTTTCCTTTTCGAAATTCATTTCATTAGCATATTTTCCGCTCTAGCAATTAAATCAGTTACGAGGTCAGATAGCTCTGCGACGTCTGCAAGAACGTTGCTCCTGCTTTCATGTTTGGCTAACCTACCGATACGGTTTTTCGTTCGACTTACCATTAGAAACAATAAAAAAAAAAAGAAGTTGATGCGGCGCCACTCGTCTTAGTTCCAGGGTGCCACGTTAAAAAGTGTCCGGGTTTCCTTACGAAAGTCCAGTGTATTCGCCAATTAGACTTTCCTTGATACAGTTTTTTTTTTCCGTCTCTTGTCAAAAAATCACTGCGGTTCATTCGCATCGGAGGTCTTTTTTTGCGATTAGCATTTCCTGTCCGGATCTGATAACTTTTTACCACTAGGAAGAGCCGTCACGGGACACGAGTTAATACACGAATATTAGTAATCCTCAAAAAGTGCTAAAATATTTTAGTAGAAAACGGGAAAAGAAAGTCATTAGTAAAGGACGCGCACAGAAAAATGTTATTTTCACCCGAAACGACGCGACTATAAAAATGTTATTTTCAAGCGAAACGACAAAGAACTTTAGTTTCTTATTTATTCAATTCTACCGGTAATGACGTTTAGAAATTCCATATATTTTTAATGTTCCGTTATACTTACTTACCGTCTGCAAACATCACACTAAAAATTTATCATATTTTCCACCTGGACGACCTACCTGTGATCCATCGATCGTCAATGCGTCTTTTTATCATAACGAGTGAAACGTTCAGTCAGCCATATTTAGAAAGCGTTTGTCGCGATATTAAAATTAGTATAAACGTACTCAAGATATTTCCTACTTGCTGGTAGCGTACTACTTTTTTTCTCGTAAGCACTTTCACAGACGCCCTACTAATTATAGGTTAGAAAATACGATACCGACTAACGAGGATAGTATTATCAATTAAATATAAATAAATTTACTGTCAGCAGTCTAATTTTAATTGCTGTCTATGCCATTAAAGCGATCAGCCACGACCTAAGACACGAATATTACGTTAATATATATATTATGTAACGTCAAACTAAACACGTGTACCAGGAGACACGTGGCGCCCAGACTCCCGCCAAAATCCGGTTTGACGTTTTTTAAGTCACTAGCAGAACTTTCGAATGGCCGCTATTAATATAGCAGTAATTGAGTTATGGATAATATTATTTTGTTAAATCCACGCTTTAAGGGTAACGTAGATCTTTAACTTTAACGTAACGTAGATCTCTTGATAAAATTAGAAACGGTATTTTTGTAACTTTGTATATACCTCATTTTGATTTTAAAGCTAATGACCTCAGTGGTTATGATTTTTGGGGTTACAATGGATTTGCTTAAAATTAATACCTTTCAATAAATAGGCCTTCTAGACTACTGCTGATGACTATCTAGTAGAGAGTCATTAAATGGCTGTATTCGCTTCGTAAGGTACAATGCTGATTCAAAACTGTATAGCTACCCTAAAGTAGGATGACCTAAGATTTGTATTTGTATAATATCCAATCTTATAAGTACAGGCAATGGCTTTAAATATAAATAAATTTACATTACAATTTGTAATAAAAAATACAGTCGCTTGGTTAATAATTTCTGTCTGTATTAAAGTTAATTTATCAACGCGAATCGAGTCTGTACATTTAATCCTTTAGCAATAGTTGACGAAAAGGTCGTGAGCTTAAGTCCATCGTCGTGTTCACAATCGACAATAAAGGTTAGGCTATTGGCTAGGATCCTCTTGAAGGACCCTGAGACCCGTTTGCTCTCTTGGAGTTACCTTCGAATAAAGGTGGATTCACAAGATGTACATTTATGAAATTGAAAAGTAAAAAAATGAAAATTAATTGTAATTTTTTGTTAATAAATTTTTTACAAGGCTTAATTCATCTCAAGTACACTCGATACAAGCAAGTAGGATTAGGATGACTTAATGCGAATGTAAAGAACGTCTTACCATTGGTTACTACGATTCAGTGTGAACGCAGCTTAAGGCCATAGTCGAAGGTGCATCTATCCGTCGGTCTGTTGTCCCTTTCACCGCGCAGTGGGGCGCGTGGGAGGCCACTTAGGGATTTAATCGCAATTTTAACTGGGACTAGCCTTCGTCGTAGTTCAGTCTGAACTCAGTCACCGTCATGAATATCTGCAGTCGAGGATCTGTAGTCGTGAAGAATTTTTCAACAGGCTGTACTGACCCAACACGAGCTATCGTTGCCTTCGATCGTACGTTGCATCGCGACTGACTGAAGTATCCATTGTCCGTAACGAAAGGTACCACTGGGACTTGAGATAAAATAAGAAACGATGCACCTGCCGGTATATAGTTGTGTACGAGAATGTCTGGTATGCGAGATCATCTGAAAGTGAACGTTGGTGACCAGGATCCGTGCGAGAGTCTGGCTACCAAAATAAAAGTGTACGGTGTCGAATAAATTAATTCGTGAAAATAATAAATTGGATATTTGAGGAAAGAAAAAGTTATCATTAATTCGTGTAATACTATTATGAAGAATCTTAACGATTAAAAAGAAGCTTGAAGAATTTCTGAAGTAATCAAGATTACATGGGAATTGGATACGCTTCGCGATCTTTGTGAATCTAACCTGTGCTTTGTTCGTAACTCGTGAAGAAATGACAGTGAGACGAGAACAATAATTGTAGAGACTTTTCAGTTATGACGTGGTGACATAAAGTGCGTGAGACTGAGGTGCAGTGCGAATTTCGTTTGTTATCGAAGACAAACGACTGCGTTGCGTAATGGTAAGGTTAGAAAGAGAGTAAATACAAGGCACAAAACAGCTACTTGTGGGTAACACGGCTCGTCGTTGTTCTGCGTTCGCAAAACTCATATTTCTCGCACTGTCGTGACTGAAATCTTTTTCCTTTTTTCCTTGAGCCACGGTTACCGGAACATTGTTATACGAAGTTTGCGCAATACTCGCCATAGAAAGCCGAGCTGAGGTGAAACTAACGTCTGGGTGAAGATTCAATTAAGAATACGGCAAGGCATACATACATTGTTTCTTAGAGTTCCAGGCCAATTAGCTAAGTCGATGCGAGCTCAGGAGACAGCCGTTGAAGCTCCTAATACGTAAATGGCCATGTTTCCGTTTAAATCGAATAAAATGATAATGACTTTGTAATACGTGATTTTTGTTGAACTTTCGTGGAAGTTCTGTGGTCACGGTCAAACGCCTCTTACTACGTAACAGGAAGTGCGGAGGACTTCCGGCGAGATCGCAGCTGTGAATAAGTGCCAGGATATTTGTGATTTTGTTAATTAACGGTTGAATACATTTTTTTTTAAATAATGGAGGACGTTTACGTGATTAAGGTCAAAACAAAGCCACCCCTGTCTTCGCTGTATCCATCGGAACGCCGATACTCCGCGTCAACGGTTGGTGGATTGGCATTGGTGCACTTTGGCCTTGGCGCCCTTGCTTTGCTCCTTGGCATCCTGGCTCAGTCTCTTCAAGGACCAATAATGTCTCTTGCTTGCCTGGTACCGTTTGCTACTGGGCTTCTAGCCTGGAGAAGATGGTACATCGATCGGAATATAGGAATCTTCTTTTACGGAAGTCTCTTCTCTATGGTGGCAGCTATTTTGTGCTTGGCCGCTACAGTTTTCGATATCGCTGCCGTCACGGAAGGAGGCGTGAGTTCACCCTGGACACTGGAGAACATCCTGGCTGCTCCTGAAGAAGTCATGCGCACCGGCGAAGATCCTAGAAACGTATCGTCCAATCAAGAATCACTTTTGGAAATTGTAAATAATTATGAAAATATTCAAAATATATTTAACGATACTCAGCAGCAACATCAGACTGCATCAGGATATTTAAAGACTGGGACAAAGGATGCTCCAGGTTATAACGCTGACGATGATCTGAAGCAAGAAGCTTCGATGATTTATGAGAGGAAATTGGATGAAAATTATACCGACGGGTCCTCTGATATGTTTGGTAACGATGTGATATCCTTCTGGCATACAGGTCCCGGAGGATCGGATCATACCAGACTCTTGTTAAATATAAACGTATTAGTCGCCTGTCTTTTGGAAATATTCTGGTCTGCGTTAAGTGCAAAAATTGCTTTGCGCGGTATGAACAATCATCTGACAGAACCCGGATATCAAGGCAACGTGGTGTCAGCGTCCAAGGATCTGAGACCGGGTCAAAGGACCAAGCCAAGAGCACCTAGGCCAGACATTCTAAATCACGCTCATAAACATTCCGGAAGTCTGCAGAGCCTGAACTCCCTTCAAAGTATCCAGAGTTCAGGACCTCGATTGCCTTTGCCAGAGTCCAGTCGTGAATTTCGAGAAAGGGTCGAGCGTTTTCTGACCAATCAGGCGGCGCACAGGATCGTCGAAGGATCATGTTCCTGAAGATTAGTGCCAACATAATAATTCCTACCAACCCACTGTCTGGTATTATTTTTAAAAAACTATCGCAAACACTCACCTAAGGATCTAGGTAATTTCTTCGTCGATACTAAAACCGGAAATCGATCCAATTTGAAAAAATTATGTAAATACTATTGTAAATAAACAATTAGTGCTCGCGCCAATTAAGATATATATTATGATAAAAAGCGAATTTCTGCAAGTACAAGATAATTAGTAATCGCAATTATCAATTCTGCAAAGGATACGTTACTTGAGTTTCCTCAATGTCGTCGAAACGCTTTTCATCGACAAATAGAATAAGATGGATTTCATATCCTATTGACGATTACTTACGAATAGTATATGTATATACAATAAACGCTGTATTTTTTAGTTCTACATTTTTCAAAATACTGACCTACTTCCTTAACCGATCTCAAGATCCTTATCACTGGCGTCAAGACAAAACCGTCACACTTTCATTGATAATGTATTGCGCGAAGTTAATAAGATCACTCAATAGGACACATGTATCTCATATGTAGGTGCATTATGAAATAATATACATAATATACATATATATACTATAGCGTAAAAGCAATGCTTGCGAAATCTATGTAATCTGATATTAGCCAATGAAGAAAAATGAGTGGGAGATATCGAGAGTAGAGAGAGTGAAAGAAAGAAGGGAGACGGAGAGGAAATAATATATATATATATATATATATTTAAGAAAGGTAACAAATCTTCTACCATTCTCTTTAGGGCGCTCCGCGTGGGCGGGTCTCGCTGACATATCCGTTCCTATATGCCACATTTAGATTAATTCAAGAAGACGACAGTCGTGAACTTCTCTGTTCATCATGGAATTCCAGCCAACCCGTCGCTGACAAAGACCAATAGATACTTGGACTTGAGTCCCATGGAAAGTTTGTATTTCTGATATCATTCCCAATTGCGAAATAATTTGCACGAGGAAAAGAGAACAATCACTCCGCGTCACGGGTGAATGCTTGGCTTATACTTCACAATGAGAAATACTGAACCATTGGTAAATTCAAATATCTAGTTACTTTCCTGTAGCTCATGTATTAGACGCATACAAAAAAAAGTTACTAGGTTACCGACAGTCTCGTATACCTGTGATTATAATTAAAAAGCAAATTTTTTGTTCTATAATTAAATCTCCAACTCTACTCCTTGCCATAACAACCCATGCCTGTATCTATAAATTTTCTCTATCAAAATTCGAAACTGACCTTCGTGTCGATTTCAATTTCAATGACTCACCTGGTGAAACTGTACAGCCTTGCTTAATCGTCTTCTACGTATTCTTGTAATTGTTTCTTCTTTTTTTACAAAACAAAGCTTTATTATAATAGTTACAGTTACATCGCTCGACAATGGCTCTTATACAATTTTATAACTTTCCTTAAGGTACACTTTTCTTTTTCTTCTTGTCGGATGAACAACATTTAAACTACATTTTCGCATTTCTTCTTTTAAAATCAACGCGTCTCTAACGTGCGAGTATTGTTTGTCTGTTTCTTATAAAATATGTACTCTCTTCTATAATATTATTATTGTTGTTATTATTATCGTTATTGTTATCATACACAATCCACAACTGTTGGGTGGTACAGGGGTGTGAGGGGGGTGGAAGGGTACGCTCGGTAACGGCTATACAAAGATGATCTGATGATTTCTCCCGATGACTACTTATCTCAGCAGATACTACATTGTCCTTGGTCCACGAGGAGAACGGGAATCGTTAATCGAGCTAATCTCGAACTTTGAACACATACCCATGATGCGTCATGCGTGATGTGTTTTATGTATATATACTGGGCGAGGAGAAGCCTAACGGTATGAGTTTTACTTTATTCCAGGACAAATTCTTCGACAATTTAAAAGAAATAGCGAGAATCGTGTAATCAACTTTATAATGGTCAGTCGTTATACCGTTACCAATGACATACATATATATGAATTAAATACTCGACACGGAGTTATTGTACTTATATAAGGAGTACTTGGCACAACATCTTGGCCCATCAAGAAGTACACCTTGGCAAGAGTAAAGCAACTTTTGTACATGGACATTGTTTCTTGTTTCCACTGGGAATCGCAAGTGGATTAATTTTCCATTTTATCAGTTCATTCTGCTATGCCGCTTAATGAGACAGTCTTGTTTCTTTCTCTTTTCTCCTTCTTGACCCTTTCTTTGTCTTTAATAGTCACTAGAAATTGTTAGGTTATAAATTTCGTAATGCTAAATATTTTTTTAAAGGGTTCCTTTTTTAAATTTCTTAATTTAAACATTCACGGGACGCACGTTGTCGTCGGATTGTTGCTGCTCGCCGCTTTGCCAACCCGAGTCCAATGTCGTGGCGTCGCTTAAGCAGCACTGCGGCGTCTCTTCTTCAGGATTTCCCCTGTAGTCTCTGTAATCCCTTTCTCGGTTTCTGTCATTGTCATCCTCTCTGAAGTAGGCCGACGATGCCTGGACTTCCTGGAGATCTTCGTCTGCCTGGGAGGCGTAGTACGCGTAGCGACCTTGCTGAATAACCTCGTATTGAGCATCCGGTGCTAGGAACGGTCCTCTTGCGTTTCTTGGCTCCTCGCTATTTGCATAACTGTCTGAAGGGACGTCTGCGCTGTCTGTAGGCAGCGGAAGTGGAAGTCGTGATCTTTTCGATAACTGTCTCTTGCCTAGACGGGCTGCTATGTAATCGACTCCTTCTGGATTTTCAGCTCCTGTTGAAATACGGTTTCAAGTAATTTTTTGTATTTCATAAGGTATTTTTGATTTCTCTTAATATATCGGCTTTTTGATATTTGGGATATGACTTATGGCTTATTACCTTCCTTGTCTACGGCCAAGTCGTAGAAACTGCTTTCCGGTCCGCAACAGGATGATACGTCCCCGAAGTACAATTCACTCTCTGACTGTTTTGGCGCGGGATTTGGCTCTTGCTGGAAAGCACCATTTTCTACACCCTTCAAAGGTTTTCTTATCCTTCTTCCTTTCATCGTACCCTCGTTTCCTCCTTCGGGATCAGTACTGTTGGAGATTTCTTCGGCATTCTCGTAATTGTCAGATGAACGCTTGGTTACTCTTGGTCTGTGATCTATGAGTGATGTACGCATCGTGTTAAATGGACTATGCAAGATTTTTAGAATTACTAAGCAAGATCGATGGATCATTCAAAAAATATACCATCGTTCCCTTCGAAATTGTCTAATCTCTTAGCAATCCTAGGTCTCGATTCAGGAACCTGGGGACGTCTCGCAGGACTATTGGGATCACTGTAAGGTGGCGGTGGGCCCCATAGCGGTACAGGTGTCTCCAGGACACTGTAAGATGCCCTGCTAGGAGTGTAAGGCCCATTTTGTGCATTGAGCACTGAGTAAGGACCACCAGATTGGGCATTCAGAACGCTGTAGGGACCAGTCGCACTGTCTGGATTAGTTTCTGTTTGTCTGGCTTGCGTGTGAAATCCATAATTTGAGTCAGGACTCGGTGCAGGTCCTCTGGAGCGTGACCATGGTAAACGCCATCGCCTGGAAACGAACAAAGGAACATTCACAGTATTCAAGAACCTAATAAATCTTAATCTTCGGACATTTCCGTTTACCTGGAAGGCGCTAAATCAGGATTCGGAGTATAAAGGTTACCCGGAGTTTGGGCCCACCAGGGACTTGCTCCGCCACAATCATTGCAACAACCACATGATCCTGCAGTGGGCCCAGCAGGACCACCCTGACCATACAACGACCTGCATCGCAATTCCAATTGCTCCCAGTACATCTTTTTCTTCTCGTGACTCAACAGCTGGTAGACCAACATGCACGAGAAGATGCAGGCCAGGATCCCAGCTACGGAAATTCCAAAAAGTGCTCTCAGACAGGAATACAGTGCCCCGTGGACGGCTTCGCAGTGCGGCGTCCCTTCGAACAGTACACCTGGGTCTCCTCTAGCTTGCGGTGCGCCATAGCAAGTGCAGGACCTTGATAAATAAAATATTTCCACAATTACCCTCCATGCATTTACAAAGTTTACTAATATAAATTTACCTTGCTCTGGCTGTGTAAACGCACTCCCGTAATCCCTGCAACCTGGACATGTGAACGACTGTTGTGGTGACCGTCACCAGGACGCAGACCAGGGCGCAGACAACACTGACGGATCCGCAAACTTTCATCTAAAAAATTAACGCACGTTATTTACTGCTTGGTTAGGCTCTTACATTTTCAGATAAGGTTAGGCTGTCTTACCAGAAGACCGTATCTGTGCTTCCGTCTCGCTAGCAGCATAGTGAATATTCCCATCAGGATCAGCTGGAATCAAAGTACGTGATACGTGTTGAGAGTCATGGATCATAGCGTTGAATGTAATTGAATAAACACAGAGGGAGATTTCTTTTATTACTCTTCATCATACCCCCCCAACGCCCTCCCGCCCCCAACAACCCACTTACTTTCCATTACGGCTGCAACCGAAATGTAGAGCGCGAAAAGTCTCTTTGAATCCTCCCTCTTCCTATTAGCCCCTTTGAGCTCTAAATTCAAAGCCTATAGTATATATACGTCTCTTACCATAGTTCCGGGAATGTAGGATGGAACCGTTTCAAAGAGAGCTAGACTGGCTGTATGTGCTGAGAGGACTACGTGCACCGCCAAAAAGAAGCTTCCGATTCCGACGTTTAAACCGCCACAGAGAAAGCAGAGAATTATGTATTTCTTGCAGCATCCACTCTCGCCGGTGTGTCCTGTAACAGAAGATGTAAGAGATTTTCTTTAAACTGTTTTTCCTTTCTTTTCTTCGTCATTGGTTTTTTTTTCGGTTCTCGAAGAAAAAGTTTCCGGCAATTTTTTTTAGGGTTTTAGGATTTATCACTCGGGGGTGGTCTTTGAAATTCTTTTGAGATTAGGTCGGGACATGGCAAACGCGGAAAACACGTTGCGTGCCCAGGAAACATAACCGAAGAGAATAATCGTTCTTGCGTGAGAACGCAATAGCGGGTGTTCATTTTGGAACAATGAAAAATATTGCTTTAGTTATCGCGTGTTACCTTATAAATCTAAGTCTTACGTGACTACTATTAGGCTATACGTCTATTCTTTGTTCTTCTTTTACTATTTTTTTTCTGTAAGGATACAGGTGATTTTTGAGTGACCGGTAAAAAATGGTCGTTACGGCCGTTACAAGTGTCAATTACGATTTTGAAAAAAAAAATCGTCAAGAAATTTTTTTGTGGGGTACTACAGGCTTTTGAAATATTACTTAAAGGAACTTTTGAAGAATCCTGTATAGATTGACAGGATGTCCCATTATGTGAATGATGTAAATTTTTTTGCCTTTTCAGGGAATGCACATTCCTCAGTTATTTCTTCTTATTCAATTTAAACGAAAACTCAGACCTGCAAACACCGTTCGATCTATGTATCGAGTGAGCCAAATTTACGAAAAGGGAAAAAGTGTAAAAGGACGACTCTACAATAATGCCAGGTAGCCGTCAGAACAGATCCTGACCGATTTCGGTAACCTTTGACCTGCTGTACCGTGAAATCACTATTGGATTTTTGTCCACTAGTTTCAGGTTATAGTAACGCAGGTACATACCTTGGTAGTTAAAGCCACGAAACTTGGATCAAAGGTACAAAGGTATTGCAAACAGACACAATGGACGCTTTTGAAATTCTACCAAGCGAAATTCTGTGAATTGATTCGACCGTAACGTCGGCAGGTACAATGCCGGTGGATTTCCACGAAAGGAAAAACGAAATTTCAATTGGAACCCGACGACCTGTATGGAGTGTATAAAAAAAGGGAAAAAATTTTTGTCCAAAACCAACAATCAACTTTTCATACCACGAGGACCAGTACAATAGACCGGTAGAAGAAGATAAATCGTACAAGCTCATAAGAGCCCAGTAGTTTCAAAGCGGTTCGTCTCCTTTAAAATTATAAATACAAGCAAAACAACCCCTAGGAAGTTTCCTTTGGGGAAGGAAAAAAAATATATTTTTAATCGCGATCATTATTCTAATTAAATATACAAAGTCAACTTTTCGTTCTCACTGATGATATCGATATTCGAATGAACGGTCGTCCGAATACATACGGGAATTAATTTTTCCAAGGATTCAAAATTATGAAGGAAAATGGATTTCAGACGAAATGGCTCTTTGGAATTGCGTTGTGTCATTCAGAAATGGGGATGAATCCGATTGAGGTTAAATCCGGGCAAAGCAGCCTCTCCCTCATTAGCAATGGCGTGAGTCATTAAACATGTAAGAAGGCCTTCGAGGGTGGATAATGGTATAACGAAGGGGCTGAGGGGTTGTTGACTTGGGCTATTGGGAAGCAATGCTAGCTACCAGGGTCTAATAAATTAGTAAGACGGTTAATCGTCGTACCGCAAGGGTGCGGATAATGAGATCTTGGGAAGTGCGCGTGGTTGCCGCCCGGATGGGGTAAGTGAGAGTGAGAGTGCGAGTGGGCCGCCATTGTGAAAGGGTAACCCGCGCTATCCACCTCCATTTCCGTCCCCAAACGGCAGCGCACTATTTGCAGTACAGGATATCCGTCCATCTTCTTTCCCATAGACGCTTACGGCTCTCTTGAAATTATTCTTCCTTAACAATCCATTTGGAAGTGACGATCTTTGCGGGCACCTCCGCTTCCTGGTCCAAAATATTCGGCTGATGATCTTACGTTGGGATCTTTCCATTAAAGCTGCACCAATATGCACTCGATCGATCGTTAATCGATTCACTTGAAATTGATGGTTTTATCCATTGATGATTGTGTTTTTCTTGCAACTAATAGATTTATTTCTTCGCTCTTTTCAATTTATTTACACACTTTCATTTTATAAGTGACATTCTTCCTGATCTTGTTTAATTTTTTTGGAGTCATTATGTTATGTCATTTTAATAATTAAATAATTTTTTATGATTGGAAATATAATTTTTTGTCTTTTTTATTAACATTTTTTTTACCATGCGTAGAGTGTTTCTATTATTTATGAAAATTCAAAATTTAATGTTCGTCCCGATAAGCGACATTATCAATTGTTGATAAATTTCTTCGCGTAGAATGTAATGCAATAAAATATTAAATAATCGATAATTATCTAAAAAAAGTTCGTACTGAATTTGTTGTATTTTAATAAAGTACCGGTCAGTGCACAAAAGTACGATCGGCTAGAAACAGAAAAAAGAGCAAGCAAAGAACAAAAGAATCGCGAGGTATATTTCGACGTTAATGCGAAAACATTATCCGTGGAATCCGAGCTTCCGAGTTCAGCGACATTTTCACTCTCCGAGAAAGCACTAAGAAAAACAAGAAGAAAAAACACGGATCAGTAGGTTTTATATCTGATCAAAAAAAAATTACCCTACACTCTTTCAGTCTCTTTTCCACACACTAGAGTCGATTCACGAGCTCGCCACTCCATTATCAAGAGTCACAGAGTGAGAGCGGTACACAATAAAAAAAAAACGCTGATAAGCAATCAGGATATCGGAATACAAGATAAGGAAATATTTTTTCACTCAACGCCAATCCTTGTCGTCGTTTTGCACGCTCATCCTCAACCTTCTTCACCTCACTCGCACGATTCGACGAGTTTCTCAGCTCCGGTCGATATATCCTGGCGAGAGGGGCGACTCGTGGTGGTGAGTAGTCGAAACTTCAGCAACTTCACTTTGGCAGCAACGTTGCACGAAGTACAATGCCGACGAGGCCAAAGGACTTGATAGTGGTCGATAAGGATGTATTTCGAGGATAATGCATTATCCTCCTACAGAGGGTAGAAGCGTTATCCTCTATTTGGCGCACCCTTGGTATATACAAATTGGACGCTGCTGATAAGGCGGGGTCAATTAGATTTGGCGGAAAGTACCTGCGGGACATGGTCGACATGGGACCACCTTGATGAACTTCGCTTTCTGATTGGATTTCAGTGAGACGCAGTACTTGCCGACCTTGCGAAATCCAGGAACAAGTCACCACCAGGAAGCCATTGCGATTGGATTGAGAGTTGGAGTTTCTGGATATGTGTGGATATGTGTATTTAGAGTTATACAGGAGTACTACACAGACTGAAGTTAGCGCCTTCATTTGATTTCTATGGTGCAGCTACCTTCAGGATGGACCAATACTCTTGCATAGCTGTGTATAATCATTTAAAAATGTTAATATAGAGGTTTAGGGGTGGTTGATGAATTTACTTGGTAGGATTGTGTAAGAAAAAAATATTCCATATCTCTCAAAGAGATGATGAGTGCATTCAGGGAGTGCACGGTTGGTTTGAAAGTAAAGTTTGAAAAGAATATTCCTGGCTGAGGATGCACTTACGATGATCGGGGGCTGCTGTCTCAAAATGCCTCGTAGGCCTTGGGGGTGGTCTTGGTGGGAGTGCTGGAGGCTGATGCGTTCTTGATGTCAGTTCGACCCCCCCGTCATTCTCACCATCGCCTCCTGCTCTCTTGTTTCCAGTTGTCTGCTGCACGACGTGACACTGGCATTTGCTTTTTCCAGGTGATACCTACAATTTCATACAGGCACAGTGTTATCGCTGCTTCAAGTATTTCCAAATTGTTTCACTTGACAATGCGAAGCTATTCGAATCATTGGACCGAATGATGACTATTGTAAGCAAAGAGAATAGAGTAGTAGGTACCTGTATGGAGTTAATCCCTATAAGAGCAACGTTCTTGATATCACTGGGTTGACTGTGCGCATGGGCATGACTATGAACATGACTGTGATGATGAGTATGATGATCAAGACTGGAAGGAGCCCTTTGTCTAATATCGGATACATGCGGATGAAGGTGATGATGATGGTCGTACACGTGATCCAATCTACTGTGCGTTCTGGTATTGGCATTCGAAGATGAGGATTCGCAGGATATTCCAGAGCTTAGATGATGATGATTTCCGGACGAATGTCCAGTCAGACTTCCTGACGAGCTTCCATGATGATGGGCAATCAGAGGCGTTGCTGAGAGAGTGCTATTAACGTTGGCATGATGATGACCCGTTGGTGAATTTCCATGATTTATCAAACTTGAATTCGATGATGTTCCACTAACTGCACCAGGTCCATGATGATATCCGGTACTTTCAGAGAAACTGGGTGTACTCGCATGATGATTATTCACGTTGGGACTGCTTACTACCCCATGTGTATGCAAGCTAGGCGAGCCACCATGAATCATAACACCAGGTCCTGTAGTGCCGTTGTTTAAGGATCCTGGATTTCCATGAATGTGTCCACCAAGGCTACCACTGCCTGTCAAATTACCGTGATGATGATGATGACCTCCAGGCACTCCTTGACCAACGTGATGATGAGAAACTTTTGCATTCCCATGATGATGATGAGTGTGCTGTCGAAATCCCATAATGCCCTCAGTGCCATCCAATCCAGACGTTGCTTTATAAGCATCCTGATGCTTGTGCAAATTCTCAGAGTGCTTGTGAACATGAGGTGGATGAGATTCAGGTAGGAAGTGACTAGGATCACGATGATGTTGATAAGGATTTAATATCTGCTGCATATTCTTCGTCTTCTCCTTGCTCGATGATTTACCATGTTCCTCAGCAAGTTGTTTATCGAGTTCCTTGGCTTCCAGCAGACCTGGACCAGGTTCCAGCAGAGGACTGGGACTGGATGTTAGACTGTGTTGCGGATCCTGACACCCGGATGACTCCTGGACCCTTCGTGCAGCTTCGAAGGCCAGATTACGAGACAGGTCCAAATTTCGTGGACTGCAGGACAAGCCATGTCCATGTCTTGTTAAAATTTGATTATCTCCTGACCTGGGCTGGACCGACTGTTCCAGGATCTCCACGTTCCTCGATGACTCCTGCTGCCCATCATGAACCGCAGAAGGATTCTCCACCGTTCTGATAGGTTCGAAAGCATTTTGAAGACTTTCTAAGCCACGCACGTGGTCCTGACTATTCGGAATCCTCGTGCTACCCAATCCACGTTCAATCCTATCCCGTTGAGCAAGGACACTCTCCATGCTGGATATAGCGGAGCACTGACAAGGATGCTGTGACCCTTCAGAAACCTCAAGATCATTTGACGGTTGTTGAGACATTTTGAGAACCTGTGAACCATCACCAAAAACAAAATGTTAAGTCCAATCAGATTATCAGATTAAAATGGACCGGATTTGAAACGACTCTATATCTGCTCTTCGTTACATTCTAATATATCTATACGTTATGCGTAATATCCCGTATTCATTATCCACCCACGCCATTGAATCTTAATCATCCTAATCGCATAATTTAATTCCATCACTATGTCCACGCTCTACGAGACATAACGTACCGTGTCTAAATGTCCCGCAACGCCCATACAATCAAACCACGCGACAACCACGAGATACAACGTCAAGGTCAAATACTTTTTCATCATTAAAACAAGATCACAACCAGCCATCATTAAATCATACGGAAGTCCATGACTTTCTGCACGCATATCATGATTAAAATGGCAAGGATCAATGGCTGTACAAAATGTCATGATACGATATCCATCAGGTGTATCAATAAATACGAGTTCATTACACCAGATGGTGATTACGTATTCCAAAGGAGATGATCGGCCATGACCCCAAGTCTCAAGGATCTCGATGGAACGTCGTAAATACATATAAATTTCTATCGAGATACATGATATATTCCATCCGTATCATTTATCATAAAATAATCATTCTTTCGGTATGCTAACTTAATGAGTCTGTAGTTTATGAACTTGAACCTAGTAATAGGTACTTAGTGGTACTAGCTATCCGTAGCCAACGTCACAGCGCAAAAACTAGAAGCGCCATTAATAGATAAGACGAGTTGTTGGCAAGTTCTCATAGTGATGGAAGGAAAAGTCGAGAACCTCGTATATCTAACGTCCGTTATACTCTCACGTACATATGGGGATATATATGTATTTATAGCAACATAACGAAGCCGTCTTACCAGCTTCCAATTACGAAACAATGTGCTGGAAGATCAGCCCCGGAGTACTTCGAAGACTATAAGATGTATGGAAGTTTAGGGTCCTAAACAAGCTGCTTCGAAATGCTATTAAGAACATCCGCCCTTTGGAAAGTGGATTCGCGTAGGTATCATTACTATGAAATAAGGTACCTTCACCTGGGTACTTGATGGCTGGGCATGAATTACGAGAGAAATAATTACTGTCGATGTGACCATCGAACGATTCTCGTAAACGAGTTCCTGGCTATGGTTTACCTATATCTAACAACCTATTTCAAGGGCTACTTCGAGCAAGGCTCTAAGTAATCGTTATACCTGTGACCATCTCGGGCATTCCTGATATTTTGTTACCCGGCGCAAGGACCTGAATTGCACGTTCAACGGTTGACAGTAACTGACTTGTTAATTCAATTGGCTTTTCCTTGTTGCTGATATTTTTCTTTGTTTCGATAGATACGTTGCAGAGTACACTGGGAAAATTCCCAGATGGCTCGTGGGTACTGAGAGTGTTATTATTTCAATGGGGTATTGTGGAGAGAACTTTTTTTCTTCCCGTTAGATTGGTATTTTGCATTTGAAAGAAATTAATGCCTCAGTTGTTAAGGTGTGGGATTTTTTGTAATTAACTATCATGAATTACCTTTACGTTAATTTTATTGATATCCTAGGAACTTGGAACGAATCCTTCTTCGATCTCGATGGTCTCGTGCGAAAATCACTTGTCGCATATTCAGGTGCGAATATGCATTTTTCAGGGTAAGTCCCAATACTGCATTGTGTATTGGGAATGGTTGGTATTGGACATTTTTTAAATTCCGATGAGTCCCTGAGATTCGCCGGTTGATACTTGAGTGATCCAACACCTTTGCACCAGCAACACTTTCACGTCACGACAGTCGCGATGAACCCTTCGCGAATAGCACACGCGAACTCACAGCCACACACAGTATGCACATTTAAAACCGTTCGGATAACTGAGCGCGATCATTTAGATTTGAGAATGAAACCCGTGGCAAAGTTTAGTGTTGTATGTTATAGGAGAAGACAGGATATCTTCCTCTACCTTAACTGGTCGGAGTTTTGCTTTGGAATGTGCCACAGCCCCCTGGCCTCTTTGACTGACCGTGGGTCCCAAGCAGGCCCAAGGAATGCTCCAACCTGGGCCAGACGATTTCATAGCGTCACTCCCACCATAAGTCTACAAGGAGCATGGTTGGCAGAATTGCCCAGGCCTGTCTTGGCTCGTTGGCTTTGCTCGAGGAATCTACCTTACCGACCGAGTCTAAACGAGGTATCAGGCCTATACTCCATCGCTTAAAGACAGTTAGAGAAACCTTCCTGATTGCCAGAACTAAAGGGGATGAAATTGCTGGACTCTACGGATTGCTTGATGTCAGCTCTAGGGGATAGTTTATCATTGTTCAACTGCCTGGGACTGAATCGACTTACGAAAGGTGACTTTCCTTTTAATCCTTCCATTTCGATTAATACGATATGGGCCATTGTATTTAACGTACGCGATTTTTTATTTTACGAACAATATTATTCTTTTCCTTTGTTTTTGGCAAGTTCGACGACGTTACTTCATGCTTACCTTTACCTACTGCTTCTTATTTATAGTTGGCAGTTTTATTATATTTTTTTCCTTTTCAATTCCATCGTTTACTTCCCACAACGCGACTTTTCTCCGTCGCACTTTTCTTATCGATGTTCACGATTACTCGCACCGTTTACTTTAATCGTTACGATCTACGGGAAGTAAGTTCCTAATGGTAGGTTTCACTGGGAAATCAATGGATCGGAGGGTAGTTGTCGAAGCGTTTAATTGCTGTCGAATTGGTACGTCGACCGCATGCTGGATGATGACAGTAACTCTGAACGAAAAGTAAAAGATGTACTGAAATTATTTTTGAAAATCATCAACTGCTTCTAAACGATATTTTATTTTGTATCTTTTTCAAATATACAAATATCTACTACATTTACCACTTCCTCCAGCCTTCTTATTCCGCTCATATCATATTCCATGGCATCTAACCTGATTCATAAAGACCGTGAACTGGCAACGTACAATGGGGTGCATAATTATAGGTCTTAAACCTTTTACGCACCTTCATTATGCGTACTTCGAACGCTAGTACCTCTTGGGTCACGTCCGTTATGACCCTTACAACGTGTTGCCACCGAATACCGCTGGATGGCGCCACAATCACTCGGTGAATTTCACGGTACACTTTACCACATGCAAATAAGGATATCATTGTCGGCTGCTAATTATCCTGAGACTCTCCAAATAATTGTAAGAATTTGATGTACAAATTTGACTATGTAACTAAGTAAACAAAACCTTCACGCAACGTTAAACATACAATCTCGTATAAATGAATCTACAACACATCGATTCATTCAACGTGACTTTTTCCCCTACCAAACGATAACAAATTCGTATATAAAGCTAAAGAATTACAATGCACTCCGCGTTACTGGATCATGGGAGTAAATCTTATCAGAGTCCCTTCCTACTGAGGCGATTTGGTCATTACTTTTTTTTCCAGCTAATCTTTCGCTCGAACGGACTCTCTTTCCTTCCCATATACAGAAACACACACACGTATGTCTCAGCACTTTCGCCCCGGGAGTTACGGCCAGTTATAGTTTTACGGGTAGCAATAATTCCGCGAAACCTATGAGAAGAAGTTGGACGGCAGGTAGGTAGGCAGTTGGTAGTGGGTTGTAGGTAGGTAGTCCGCAGGCATATCCGGACCATTAGTCTAGCCGAGCAATTCGTCAAATCGGGAGAAATGTAGTATCAATAACGTCGAGCAGCTGCTGCCAACCGAGCATGCAATTCCCTAGCGCAAATGACGTTTACCAGCAACACGCACTAGTTATGAAAAAGCCAAGTTAAAAAATCTTTTAGTCTTACAAGGACTATATATTTTTTTTTTCGAAAGAAAATTCGTTCCCTAAAAACAAAAAAAAGAGATCCTGCATAGACGCCGTGTGATCTTCCGAATCATTTTGAGTGTAGGACACTTTACATTTCTCATTCGTACCAGGGAGGGTTGCGAATGATTTCTTATGTAACCCCCAATCACTCTGCTCGATACTATCGAGGGAGTAGAAATCGAAGATCGAAGGGAAGGGGGTGACTGTTATTAATTCCCTGTGGTTGTGGCTCCAGTCGAAGATCCTGCCGTCCAGGAGGAGGTCAGGACCGATGTGTGATGTTTGCGGATAAATCCTCAACCTCCGCTGGAACCGAGGTCGAGCCTCTTCTCTCGCATCCTCGCTAAATAATAAATACGAGAGGGTTCTCCCGGGATGCCTCCAGGGTGCCATTAGCGGGGTACGGCCGACCCCCTCGGGCCCCCCCGTCGCCCTGGTTCGCCCTCACTGCCTTTCGTACTCACCCTCGCGACTTCGGAGCGCGAGTCTAATACACTTAGACGCCGGCAGGGCGCAACGCTGAGACATGTCTATGGGATAGGGGGCAAAAAAAGGGGCTGAAAAAGTCCCACCCCTTCGATCGCTTTATGAGGACAGTTTCTTTCTTTTTTTTCCCTCTTGTTTTCATTTTGCTCTCATATTTTTTTTTGATGTTTTTTTTTACCTTTATTTTTTATTAAAAAAATTTTTTTCTTATTTCTTGTCTCGATAAATATGACTTATTCGCAATTTTTATATTGACCCAAAGAGTAATTTTGGTAAATGAAAGTATGATGAGAAAATTAATGTAGCTATCTTTGTCTATTTAAAAAAAAATCAAGATCGCTGTACAGGAAACGATCTCGCACTCGTATCTTTTTCTTCACTTGTTCATTAAGCTTCCTGTCCTCCTCAGTCCTGTATCGGCTAAAAACGAGATTAGTTACTCCTGTTCCGGTGCACGCGATGCAAAAGAAACGCCGAATCGGATTCCTCTGGTCTGTAAAGCCACAGTCGAGTTACCGGCAGATCTAATAGAGCGACTTCGTACACGCTTGGAAAACGTTGACCACTCGCTCTAGCCGGTCAAACGGTTAATCGAGGCCATTGTGACCGACAGTGGTTGTCAATTGAAAAATTTTCAAATTCAATCAAAAATAATTGATCAGCCAAAATACCGATCGACTCGCAAGACTTCTTAGCCACGTAAAACATAATTAAAAAATTTCCAAAAAAAAAGCCAGCCATATCCCTCCCATATATTCCCATGCACAAGTAATCAAAATTGATTTATAATCCCAAAGTTAAAAAAATTTGCAAAAATCAAAAAATAATTAAAAATTTTTTTTTTCTTCTGCCTTTTAACTAAATAAGTACCGTATAGCAAAATTATATATTATTTTTCGTATACACAGTGTACACTGTTTTAATACATCGTAGCCCGATGTGTACGAAACGGTGTGCATTTTGCCAATTGACGAAATGCAGAAAGTAAACGTGGTAGAAAATGAGGGGTGGGCCGATGGGTAAGTATCAATAATTGAGCACCATGGGGTGGTTGGCCATTTAGCGGTCGAACGAGGAGCCGCTGGAGGAGGCGGAGGGGTGGCTACGTGGAAGAGGAGAAATACGTAACGGCGACGGTAGGAGAGGGATGACGGTGGTGAATTTTGGGGGTTTGGGGATATCGGGGGATGTATCGCACGGCGCGGCCTGCTATCGACATGTCGACGATGCCAGCCAGGCTGTATATCCTACAATATAGGAAACTATCCTAGCCGCGATCATGATACGCGAAAATACCATCTGTCATTTGGCTGCGTGCTGGACCTTTCGCTCCATACCCTCTTTCTCTACTATATATATATATATATGTATTGTTATAGCTAACCAAGGTTTCAAGACCGCGAACTACCTTATGACTAATAAAAAAATTCGCCTGTTAATTCCATATATATATTTTTTATAGGATCTTTAAGGGATCGAAAAAAAAATCAATTTATTCGCGGCACTCGTAAGGGATGAAATGTATTAGGGGATTATGTTGGTATTTGAAATTATTGAAAAATTATTGCCATTTCAAATTTGCGATAGTACGGTCAATTTGGGAGACGGTTGGGGTTTTTTCAATGGATTTTAGATATTTTTATTTCCGTCTCTGTCTTTCGCATTGGCGAGCGCATGGGTCCGTCTCTCTCGCACTCGCTGTAGGTATGGTAAAATTGAAAATTCCAAGGATCTACCTTAGTCATTTATTAATACATTTTTTTTTGGGTATTTAGCGGACTGAAAATTTTCATACTCGCATTGATTAACGGTATACCGATCTTCGTGAACTTAATGAATAGCCCGCAAATTTTTTTTATCAAATTTCGCTAACCATTGCCGAAAATCGAAACTACCACAGCGGTGAAGTCGGATTGGTTCGTTTGAATTGAATGGTGTATCTATCTGAGCTGGTATATCTATAGATAAAAAGTAATCGACCGATCGATTACTGCACACCCATACGTCACAACTACTGGCCTGTTAAATAATGTAAATCTGATACAGAGAGGGTAGAAGAGCTAAACTTCTAAAATCTTCCAACGGAGTGTACCCCGAACAAATTGCTCCTCCCTAAAATTCAAACTGGTCCATCCAGACCAGTCCGAGTCTTCCGCGAATCTCTTAAAGCATAAGATAAAAGACAGCAGATATTTTCAAACCGAAAAACCCGTTTCGACCCTCAAAAAAATTTAATCGCGTCATTACAAAATTTCATGACGTGTCAAAGATTTTTTGGTTCGACTAGGAAAAAAAATTAGGGTCCCCCCCCCGCCCACCCTGGTGAAGAAATTCTTCTCGAGGACGTCGAGGTCCTCTTTAAAAATCGATGCCTGATATTCACAGAGGGGATGAAATGGAAAGCTCTCCCGCTTTACGTATACCATATATAACTATTTGTACTATACATAGTTTCCACATACGTATCTAAATACGCGGACCACGTACGGTAAGGTGCATTATGCAACGCCGGAAAGGATGGCCAAACAATTCTCCTGCATACATCCTGACAGACCGTGCAGTACTGTTTTGTGGTTAGGGTGCAAGTGTTGGTGGCTCACTTTCGCGTTTTAACCCCCATTAGTGACCCTCTAGCCAAGGGAATGGGGGGTCGGTCTTGTTCGCAGCGTACCGACTCCCGACAACGTAATGTTATGTAAAAATACCGTCGGTCCTCGAGCCTCTCTACCACTCCGCTCGCTATATAGTACGTACCCTTGCCGAACACCAGAGGCGCCACCTCCGTCCCTGCCACGGCGAACGGCCGGGATATTAATGTATACCGAAAGAACGAGAACCCCGTAGGAAAGTGCAGGGGAAAACCGACGCGGGCGCCGAACTGAACGCAGATGCTCACCGGAATATCTAAATAACTCCCTGGCGTTTAAACCGAATAAGTAATAACATCTTCCTTAAGCTCCCTGCTTCGTACCAACTTCTCCCTACTCCTTTAAGAGTGAGGGTGAAAACCCGAATGCTTACCCACTTTCCTTTCTGTCCGCATAAACGCCACGCGATTTACCGACTCTAATTGACCCCCAAACAATGGTATTGTCCTTTTTCTCGGGCGAGTATAATGAGTTAATTTTATATTTATTTTTTTATTTTTTTTTTCTCAGTAATAAATACAAAAATATAATGGGAGCTTTGTGAAAGTTATTTTTTGAAAATTATTTAATGACGTTTTTTGAAAAAAAAATTTTTTTGGGTATGTCCTTATTTAGTCCTAGGTTGCTTTTTGGTACTTTCTTCTTTGAATTTTCATCGGGATTGGTTATGGATGATCGTTTGATCGGCGAATGACGTTTTTCTATTTACAGATGATTGCCGTGTGAGGTTTCATAGAGGTTGGCTGTCTAGACACCTGTAACATATGGAATTCTCGTATGAGGACAGTGAAAGCGAAAATTCTTTCGATTGAGATTCCTGACGTCAGCTACTTTGAGCACTGCTGTACTTATGTGTGTACTTTGCGTGTATACTTATATGCTTTTCGCATTTGATGTTGGCTTTCAAGTTTACGCTTTTAACATTCTAATGGCGCGGAGCCGTATCAACGTTTATCAGTATACAGCGCCAGAATCACTTACGTCCTCGTTAAGCACTCCCGGCTCTCTTTATTTCACTTTTGGTCTTTCTTTTAATCTTGCCGTTTCTATCTTTTATCTCTTTCTATACCATTCAACGCTTTTCGTTCGCTTTATTTTCTCGGGTTGCTACGGCCCTCCCTTCGCTTTTGATACTCTTATCGCGCTGTATCAACTCGGTCAAATTTTTTTTTTTCTTCTCAATGTGAAAGTCTACTATTGCTTTACGGAACTCTAACACGAAATTTCTCTTTGGTTGAGATTCAAAAATATGGATTTTTTGGGCTCTGGGTTATATCGTCGAAAAAGGTACTGAGACGGTATTCTTTGAAGAAAATATTTCGCGATAGTTACGTACGTTACCGCGTGGATGTTATTAGGCGATTTTGTTACGCTAGTGAAAATTTTTTTTGAATTTTCCAAAAAAAATTTCTTTCTCAAATTTCTACGTGCCAAATTTTTCTGTGCATTTGAATGATCCGTAATCACGTTTTCTATGATTTTTCACGCGTGCCAGTTGTTTAAATTTTTGTAGGATCTACTAACCTCGACAAACCTCCATACAATCCTTTTTACTCATAAAGTTGTTGTCGTTTCCGGCACAGCCGCCATATTCAAACGGTACACAAGTTTTGACAGCCGGATCGTACATCCATCTGTGCATCAAAGCGCGACAGTGACCTTTGGCCATGGGTAATTTGCATAAATCCCTAGCCACTTCATTCTCTGAAAAAAAAATATAGATCACCGTTACAATTAACCATACGCTTTAAAATAATAATAAATAAAGAAAAAATTGTTAAAAGTCTAACTTTCAATATAATCATAGATCCAAATCTCAAAGCTAACATTAAAATAATTAAGTTTTCAGTTTACATAAAAAATAAAAAATATTAGTATTAATAGAAAAAAAAAATTACCTCTTCTCGCCGGAAGCGCATGACTCAGTGCGCAGACGCAGAATATCAACAGCAACAAAGTAATCTTCCCGTTCATTTTCTTGCGCCTCTCGTCGCTTTCTTTGCTCGATATAAAATACTAATTTGCCAAGAATCCCAAAAACTCTCACTTTTCGCAAAAATTATCTCTTCTCGATATCGTCTCAAAAGTACCCAATGTTTCCTCGACGACCGTTGAACTCGGTTGCTCGCTGGCTTGAGATTCGTAATGCCGGGCTACATGACATGCTGGTCTTATATAGGTGGCGCGATACGTAGTGGGGGATTCCCAGTCTACCTTACGCGTGGGACACGCGGTAAAGTAGCGAACGTGCTCAAAATGCAATTGCATTTTTTATCATCCCCACCAAAGCTACCATCATCCTCATTTTTGTTCACAGGTCATCGTAACGCCCAATGACACAGGTTTTACAACCTCAAAAGACTCTTAGTCTCGGCAAACCTTAACCTAACTAACCTAACCTACGAGTACCTTGAAAAGTCAAAGCATACATACGTCACTCATTGGAAACTGCACGAAGTCGATCGGTCTTAGTCTCTTGACGCCAGCATCGTACGTAGGTAGCAATAACGACCTAGTATACGAAATAACGTATAGTAGAGAACTAGAAAAAGAAAAAAAGAAATAAAGAAAAGGTACGTGCTACAATCGCATTTACTTCTTTATTTCCCCAACGCTTTCTTAATCTTTGCCTTTGGCCTTGCCTTTTCCAGGAATTCCGATCCACCTTTTTCCTCAATTCGATTACAGTCGGTGACGTCAGACTGCAGCTGCATTATCAGGTAAGCAATCTGTAGACGGGATGATTTAAGAGGTTAGAATGTAAATAGTGATTAGAATCTGACTAAACGTCAATTTCACTGATGAATAATACACCAGTGTATCTAATTAAGACTATCTGTTATGACGTCATAATGGAAATTCAATCAAAAAGCACTAACGACTATTCGTCTTTCCTGCCAATCATTCATCGACAGAAATCGATACTGTCAAGTAGAACAGATCTGGACCCCATCCCGTGACTTTTGTCAAAAATATTTGAGGTTAGGAGACAATCCTGCAGTTTGTCGCATCGTGGACGAATGTTGGATACTTTTTTTTTAATTTTACTTCTGGCTTCATTTTTTTTCTATCGCAGAACATAGAGACGCTTGTCACGATACGTCAACGAGCATAAATAACTAGTGTGGTGATTACCCGCGTAGGTACACGCATATTTACTGGGGAATACCAGAGTTTCGTATTTTTCATGGGACTGATAATACCAACTGTTCCTGGTTGCACTGAACAATGATTATTAATGATTCGACTTGATATGATAAATTCGATAATGTTAACTGCGTTGAATTTAACGAAATTAAAGAGAAATGCATGACTGTACGTATATGGTAGATATAGGTATACCTGTATGTATATGAATTACAGATGAATTCCACATCGCAAACTTCGAATAGGATTGAGCCTCCAATTTTTAAAATATGTAGGTTTAATATGTATACACATCGGATATCATTGAACGTCAATAATAAAATGACGCCTGGTGCGAATACGCCACAAGAACTAGAAAGGTGCCGTTGAACTCAGTTTCTACGAAAGGAAGAGTTTTGTTTATTTGTTCGTGTCACCGGTATATTATCGGTAAACAGATCATTTATAGTAGGCATGATAAGGAGCAGTATCGATAGTACATGAAGTCATCGTTATTATCAATGATTGGTGACGATTTATTAAATTCTCCGTTATCTCAGATTTCTATTTCCGTTTACCTAAAAGTAGAAAATATTAATTATATGTATGTAGTACGTGTCAATATGATATAATTTCTATGGCCAGTCATCAGTGACGATTGAAAAGATATATATTTGTGTCCAAATATATTTAAAAAATATTTGTCCCAGTTTTCATTCGTCCGACGTTCACCGAAATTACGCGTAGTTCAAAATCGCATCAGAGCCAATGAGATGCGTGTCATAAATGTCGTTGATTCGCATTCTAAATACAAATCCAATAGCTGAGGATTAAATGTGGGATTAATTTTGTCACGCCGTGAATTTGTATACAGCTGATGTGCGTTAGAAAGTAATTTCATATGCGTTCATAACAAAAGAATTATTCAGTAAATATTATACCTATTGTCGGCATATATAGATATAGAACGCACGTTAGAGGTTCGTTTTAGACGATTGTGCAAGACCTATAGTTCATGTCTAATAACACTGTATATACGTATATTTAGTCGGAGAGTCAAACTGGGCCAAACGGTCGGAGTCACGGGCCGCGCGTTATTTTCACGACGTAAAACACGTCTATTTACGTATAGTTTGTCGAGGTGTCATTATCGCGTCACACAGTGCTTGGATTCTGTTTATTTGTGATTTACACAGTACCACCATTGTTCGCCGAGTATCAATTGTGACGTGGAGTAAAGAGAAAAAGAAGAGTGTGTCTACAGAACGGGAACTTCGGTCGCAAGTTAGGTTATGGTGTGTTCGAATCGACTACGCGCTGGGTCACGGTCGATTCTGCATACGTGTATTCCTGCAGTTTCTTAGGCTTCTAGAAATTTCTCAATGCCTTCGGGATCGTTGAAATCGCGATGGCAGGTACGAGTTCATTGAACAGTCAGGTGGAAAGTTATGTATGTAGGTACGTACGCGTGTGCTTTGAAAAGTGAGTGTAAGCTGTGACGTCGGACGAGTTTTGTATCATCGTGGAACGAAAGTGGATACTGTGACGAGTTCATGACTAAAATGTTTACGTAAACAGAACTGTGATTACAGGCTGAAAAAACTTATGCGTGGAACGTACGCAGTGCGAACTACATAGGTGATCGTCTGTGCACGACAGCACGTGCGCCGTGTTTACTATTACATCATTGTGGTTGATCAACTGTTTACGGTTTTCAGTCTGGGTCATACAATATGAAAACGATAAAGACTCTAGATGCCATTTTGCCAAGGTTATTCATTTCGGTTATTTAGTGGGATTTACGGCGACTGTTATTCACCTTTTCAAGATGGCCGTGCTACGAACCGGGCGTTTGCTGGTGGAGGTATAAATTGACTGGTGAGTATTGTTTTATTGGTAAATAATTTCATTCCATATTGATTTCAAATATGGTTATTCGCGTATTTTCTTTTATTGTTTTCTTTTTGTAATGTAGATATTAGTTTTATGCCAGAGAATAAAGTCTATGCTATGTATGTATTTCGTTCGCGCGTCCGTTCTGAATCCGATATCCACTTTATTCGGCATTACGTGAATGTCATTCGACATCTGTAAAAACCCTGCTCGAAATTTCTATATTCGGTCGTCACTCGCTTATGTCTTGCATGTGGCTGAAATGAAGAAGGATGACGTATGCTGAAGCACGTACGACGAATGCGTGATCGGCTGGGTATTAAATCGTTTTCAAGCAGGTGGGAGTCTTCGCGAACTCCATTTCACTTCGGGACTTCCAGAGATTTCGATTATACCAGACTCGTTGCGTAACGCAGTGGCACGGTTAAGTGTAACGGATTTTTTTCTCTTTCCTTTTTTTGTGACGGCGGTCCAATTCGCGAATGACGTCATTGTTTACGGGAAACGGTGACGCGTATGAAAGTTAGATTTCTTACAACTCATTATGGAGTTCTTTTATTTGCTTTTTTATATCTAAGAGTCTTATGTTGCTTATGTAATTGTTGATAAAAATGTTCTCTTCTTTTTTGTAAATATACTTAATGAAGTCCATTGCTCTGTTTTTTTATATTTTGGGTGGTCAGGTTAGTTCATCTACTTAAATGTAGATAGAGATATGTGACATTTTTGTGTCAATCTTATGTCGGGGTTGTTAGAACTTTTTTCTCAATTCATTTTTTGGATTCTTTTTTTTACGGATTTTCGTAACCCAACATTTGATCCGCCGTGTCTCGCTGATCGTCCTTTTGTGCTCTTGATGCTTGACTTTGCATTTGTCGCTGTTCGGATATTTCCAAAAGCGGTAAAATGGCTGCGGGATCACGTTTGTTTTTCAAATAGACTTTTCCAGATCTTACATTTATATTGGAGGTGAGTTTCCCGTTGCGCTTTACAACATTTTGTACAAAGTCTTGATCTTTTCGGTTGGAATTCAGTGCCACGTCTTTGACAATTGGATGATTGTAAGGTTGACCTTCGTTACTTAAAGCATAACTAGAGTATGGTACTTCATTAGCAGACTCATCTTTCTGTTCGGTCCTTGACGTCCTTAGCATTATTTTGTCATTTTGTGATTCGTGGAAGTTTTGTTCAGTGTCCTGAAATTGCTTTTCATCCAGACTACGTTTATCCTTGATTAAATTTTTGGTTGAAAAATTATCTAAATTTTTTTCAGTGACTTCCTGCAGGTCATTTTCGATTTTTTTGTCAGACTCCTGAAACAAGGTTTCCTTGTTCAGGGTAGTTTTCCTGGAATCATCTTCGGCTGTGCTTTTTTGACTGTCATTCGGAATTACTTGATCCTTCACATTGAATTCATTTTCGTAGGCACTTTTATTTTCTCCCAATACGAAAGTATCTTGACTTTTTTCCAAGTTTCCCGTCGATTTTTCATATTTCGAATCAGTCACATCTTCGTCGGAATAGACGTTAATCTTGTTTTCGATACTTTTCAAATAATCAACACTGTCCTTGTCTCTCTCTTCCGGCACGTGGCGATCCTGATTACTCCTGGTAGAATTCGCAGGAACAACTTGAAAAATGTTCACTTCCATGGTCATTAAATTTTCCGACTTTTTGTCCTTTGGCTTTTCCACGTCAACAGCCTTACATTTCATTTCGAGATTTTTCTCCGCGCCCACGCCATGACACTCGCTTCTTGTTTTCGACGAATTCTCCACAGCTATATCTTTGCCGTGCTCCACCGCCATTTTCGATTCGTCCTCCCTTTCGTCCTGACGCTTTTTTCGGCCTCCAGCTTCCTCCGACTCTTTCTTCCTCTTGTCGAGTTCTGGAAGCTTCTCGAACTCCTCCTTACTACGTCTGCTTCTCATGTCCTCGCCGAAGGCTACTTCCTCGAGCTGTTGCTCGTTTTCCCTTTTCCAGGCTTCACGTTTGTTCAGCAGAACCACTTCGTCCTCAGCCAGACTTCTTTTAACATTTTTTGCTCCTCCGCTCGACAATAAGGGATCCGATGGCTCCCTCTTCTCTTCGTAGACTTTAAGTGCGTCTCCTTTCTCGCCTGGCAATTGGAATAAAGTGTCTGTATAAAGTAAAACGAGGAACGAAGATTTTTAACCTATATATTCACCATCGTCCCTATACGTTTCCCCAATTCGCGAAATTCCGTTACTCGTGTGAACTAGGAGATTGGAGAATTTTTTCAAAAAATCCGAAGTGGACTCGTCGTTCGACTTTGGGTCCAGCCAGGGTTGCAAATTAACGGACGCACTCAGAACGTCTCGTTTGCGCTTATTTGTTTTTCCAATATTTTCCGCATTTTCGTAAATCCCGGGATTATAATTCATATTGGTCACCTCTCTCTTCTTTTTCGAATAGCTCCTCGGGGAATCGATTGCAACTTTCGAAATTTCATTCTCATAATCTACATCGTCAAATTCGCTATTCCTCGCGTGATACTCAGGTCGGGAATCGGACCCGTGGAAATTATTATCGAAGTTATTTTCAATAATTTCCTTAAAAGCGTCTTTATTCAAATTTGCTGATCGACGCCCATAACTGTTCTGATAATTTTCATTGGTTTTCTCTAATTTCACTTTTCTCCGTATTTTATTTCGTAATTTTTTTCCAAAACCCTCTTCGAATTTCGGATCGCTTCCCGTACCGTCCTCGTTATAAGGTCCTGCAAGATCAGTCCAAAAATGCGGATTTTCTTCTTTCGCAAAATTAATCTGCCCGTATCTTTCCTTTGATTCTGGACTTTTCTCCCCGTTCCTGACTTCACGTTTTCTATTACCAGAATCACTGCGCAGCAATCCCGAGGCACTATAAATGATCGGTTCCTCATATCCCGATTCAAAAGGATCCCAATCGTCCTGGTGCAGAGAATTGGCTCTTTTTTCCCTGAGCAGTGCAATTCTGCGTATGAGCTTTCGATATTCCGGCGACTGGTTCACGGAATTTTTGTGCTTCTTATGCTTATGCTTATGCTTATGCTTATGCTTGCGTTTTCGTTTACGCTTCAGAAGTTTGCGCGGTAACCGCTCCGAGTTTCGTGCCTTTCTGCGTTTATCGTGCGATGTGAAAATTGGTCCTGCAAAATGAAAAATTTTCAAAAATTAATAACAAACAAAATTTTCAAAATTTTTTTTTTTTACTTTGGTCCAACAAATTGTCATTCAATCGAAAGGTGGCATTGCTCAGTCCCGCGATACTGGGTGCATCCATAATGCTCCCTATCAGTCCTGTATGATTATCATTATCATTCGAATGGGGCATTGCGTTTTGATACTGTAAAATATGTTGGGGACCCGTTCCTACGCCATTTGTCAAAATTTGATTTCCATTTGCTTCTTCAGCCTCCTTTGCTTCTATGTACTCGACAAGTAAAGCCAATTGTCTGACCTATGACGTATCAGTGACAGTTATTGAAATAAATTCAATTTAATTAAATTGATTTTTTTTTTCTTAAATTTTTGAAATTTTGTAATTATTCATAATCACTTACGAGATAATCATGAACAGATTGAACTTTAGTCTTCTCTTTTTGCGTCAGAGCATTGTACTCGTTAATCAGACTTTTCAGCAAACGAACTTTTTTATAAAGTTCATTAATGTCTGCATCCAACTCCTGATGGGAAGGATCATGGAAGAGGAATTTATCGCCAAGATGATGAGGAACATCCTGGTCATGGACCAGTGGTAATGGGGGTGACTGATGTAAAAGATAAATAATTTATATTCAGGTATGTCAAATATTTTTTTATTACAATCCATACCTGATCGGACAAGGATTCTTCCTGTTCGACTCCCAGCATCCATTGCAAAAAATCTCGCATATCCGGTGGCAAGGAGGCACAGGTCTTTCTTTGAACTTCGTCCAATATCAATCGACCCAACAGTTCCATGACTCTTCTCATCATGGTTTCTGTATGTTTTACCTGAATGAAATTTTTTATTTTATATTGTTTTTTTGGATTTTTCAAAATGATCTTACTTCATCTTCGTCAAGACCCTGACGATAAATCTTGTCCGAGGTTATGGCTTCCTGGGGCTTGTGCTTACGATAGAGTCCTGGACCAAGTGCTACCTTGAGAGCTTCGTTTCCTTGAACCTGGTGTTGGGATTTTTATTAATTTTATTTATCGATAATTTTTGAATTTTCATACTTGATCAAATATTCGTTCGACTATCTTTCCGGCTAACTCGCCATGCAGTGCTATGTCCATCTGAGATTCGTCTTCCATATTGTCAGGCGCTAACAGAACAGTGAACTTTTTCTTTTGACTGTCATCTTCCGGTTTTTGGGTCTGAAAATATATTTTTTTTAATAAATACAGTTTTTTTTGGCATTTTTATCTACTTAGACATGTACCGATTGATCCTGGGCATTTTCATTGAGGACTCGCTTCTCGGTGTCTGCCATTCCAGATTCTAAAATTTTGTTACATTCAGGTGAAAGTGGATGCTTGGCAATGGTATTGACATCTTTGACAGCTGCCAAATTTCCGGTTAGCGATGATTCTGAGTCCTTGAAATTGATGCTGGTGCCATGATTTTTTGAATTCTTAAAAAACCCATTGGACGTTTTCTTACGATGAGACGATGGGCGATGCTTGTGATGTCTCCTTTTTCCAAATTTTTTAGATTTTTTCTTCTTCGAATACTTCGAGCGTCTGTCCTTGGGACTGGATCTCTTTTTTGCACTCCTGACCCTTTTTCTATAATTATTCCCATCCTGCAACCAGGCACTTTCGCGGTTACTTCCACTCCAAGGACCAAATGCATTATGGTAATCGCGAATATTGGTTCGTCCAAAAAATTCTGGTGTTAAGTCATTTGACGAAAATCCATTTTTCAAATTCACACCCGTCTGGTCCTTTCGCATATCTTTTGGTTCTCCATAGAAATCATAATTTTTTCCATATCCTGGCACAATTCGATAATCACTTTTCGCCGAAAATCCTGGAATCCTCGTCTGTCGAATCTTCTTCTCCTTTCCCTCTTCTCGCAAAAAATTATTCATCCCATTTTCATTCTCCATATAATTTTTTTCACCAAATCCAATATAGGATCTGGGAATTACCTCGTTGTAATTCGAATTACGTTTGTCCCTATTTAACAGTGTAGCATTCACTTCGCTCGCAAAATTCCTCGAGCTACCAGTCTTTTCAAAAGTACTTGACTCCTTTTCTATATTAGATCCATTGATCGATACAGATACTATACTATCTTTTATCCTTTTAGCATCTGGTCCATGATCAGTGTCAGAAAAAACTACGTGTCTCTGTAATATAGGAGCGTTCATTTCCCACTCCTCTACATTGGTCAATCCTTTACCGATCCTGGTACGAAATTTTGATCCTTGATCAGCATTGGGGATATCGATACGATTTTTTAAATTTTCAAAATTCATTACCGATCGATCATTTGAATCAATCGATAGCTCGCGTTTGATTCGATCTTTTTTTTCTGATTTCAGATATTCACGATCGACGGATGTCCTTCCGGTCCAGGACGGATCTACACCGTCTTGAGAAAAAGGATTTTGGGATTTTTTCAAATATTTTTCAACCGGCGCCTCTTGCCACTCCGATTCGCCTACGGCTCTCCGCGAAGGAGTCCTTCCAAGATCATCTGCAGGGTAGGAAAAGGAATGCAAGTCCTGGAGGATATATTTAGTATTTTCAGGATCGATCGGACCAATTATTATTATACATGATTCTTTTTACCTCCAATTCAGGATCATCGATCGCCATCAATCCCCTGCCTAGTCTGATCCTCACGTCGTCTTCGAAGTCCAGATCTAAAGGCTCCACAAAGGACTCGTGCATAAGATCTTTAGATCCTACGGACGATCGATCTTCAATTTTATTATTATTGTCGGGTACAGCCGATTTGAAAATTCTTTGATTTTCATAAGGCGAACCAGAATCGGTATGTACAATTGAATCGTGTTTCTCTTCCGTTGTCATATGATACGCAGATGCAAGTAGTGTGTTATCCTTGTCATCCGTAACCTTGAAAATTTAATATAAAATAACATATTCTCATATTTATTTTTCAAGGAAATTATTTTGATATACACCTTGATGACTTTCCATTCCGTAGTGGTCCTCGATGGACCCAGAATCTCTGGTGTTTTTTCCTCAGTGGGATTACTCTGGTCAATCCCACCTTTGAACATGTCATCAGTAATTTTCAAGGCCATGTAATTACTTCCTGACGAAGAGGACGAGGAAGTTCCATGCGGATCAGGATTTGATGATCCTGGCAACTGTGCTGGAGATATCACTAGGTACGTCCTTTCGTCAGCTGCTGGTTCTACCAATTTTTTGAGATCAGGTACACCAAATGTTGAATCTAGGAAAGATTTTTTTTTTACTAATTTATTGACAGGATATTTGCTATATAATATTAATTATTAATCTTATCACCTCTTTTAAGCGTGTCCTGGGAGTCGCGTTTTGGTACTTCATCTCTGGCTTCCTTCAGGAAACGTCTTCCTTTGGAAATCTGTTCACTGATCTGTTCAAGGTGGGATGAACTCTTGTCGACGTCCGATTGCTCCAGGCTGGCACTGCGCGATAAGATGAAATAATTAGATCTTGTTTTACTTTTAGGTATCATTTGCGATGATGGATACCAATCGACACTACCTTACCTGTCTGGCTCTTTAGAGTACCAGTTTCGACGCGCAGCTTTGTCACTGTAAGTATCTGCTCTGTCTCTGTTCCCAGCATCCGCTCCTGGTCCACCGAACATTCTTTGATCGCCTCTCAGCCGTGGCCTAACTTCACTTTGCTTCCACTCGTTGATCTTCTCCATTTCTTCATAGGTTGGCTCCTCCTCGGCTTCGTCAAGGTGGTACCGATCCTGATGTCTGATGATGATCATCAGAAGTTTTTAAATGATCCAACAATTATTTATCGATCGCCGACGAACCTTCTACCCTCGTAGTCACTCAAAATTCCATGAGCCAGCTGGAACTCAGAGGTTCGGTCCAGCAGACGTTGCTTCACCGGTGCACCTTCCAATATTGCACCTATGGCTTCCGGTTCCAATTTTCCATGAACGTTCAGATTGTACTCAAGAGGTTCAGCCAGGATCACGTGACGTCTGTTCTCCGGTCCAATTATTCTGTCCCGGTCCCTGGGGTCCAGGTCAGCTTCGGCCGATCGTCCAAGCCTGAAAGAATGTCTTTAGTACTTTTTTAAATAACTTTTGATTTTTCTTACTTTACCATTGTACTCTAGAAGCTCCTTCGGGATTTTCGCGATAATGGTTATCGTCGGATCGATCAATTTTTCCTGGTTCGTCATTCGACAGTTTTTTTTCGTCGTTCAGGGTCGCCTTCGTAGTGGGCGGACCGCAGGGTACCTTACCCGATATCATCGTCGCGTTGTTTAGCTTTTGGTGGGCCTTTCCCAAATTAACGTCGGGTATAAATTCTTGCTTTGGAAATTTGTTTTTTAGCTGCTGTAGTTTCTTGTCCTCCTTCTCCTTCTCCTCGCTGTTCTCGTCCTTCTTCGTTAACACGGAGGCTGAGTTACACGGCGCTGCCGGATCGTTTGCACTGGAATTTGATAGTTGCTGCTGCTGCTGTACTTCCGGTTTCTGATCGATCTCAGCAGCCGGCGAGTCCTTTTCGTATTCACCGGCATCACTGTCGTAGTCGTAATACTCAATTGTACCCAATGGGTACCTGCGTCTTCTTATGTAAGGATCCTTGGTTTGAACATTCGTGTCGATCCTCTGTCTTATCAGCATGTTCACTCTGTCCCTCAGAGGGTCTCTTTCGTAGGCTGATAAGGACCTCTTCCTTTCGAAATCGATACCTGAAATATAATTTAATTCTGTAGAAAAGAAACGAAATTCTTTACACAGACTGATCAGCTGATCGAGGTACCTTGATCGTCGACTTCAGATTTTTCCTTGTCATGATCCTGTCTCACGTTTTCGATATCTTCGTTAAGACCTTCGTAATCATCTTCGCTCCCTTCGGGACCCTTAACACCAGTCTTCAGATTTGAATCTTCCTGCGGTCCAGAATTATTTTTTGAGTATTCAGATTTTTGTTGCGACCTTAGGAATTCTGGACCATTCCCAGCTTCTTGAAGGATCTTTCGCTTTTTACGTTGAGTATACGCACGTGCCTGGTCGTTTGTGTCTCTGCTATTTAAATCGTACTTAAAATTAGCTCCAGGCTCGGATTCTGCAGCAGCATCCTTAGAGATGGCTGCTTGGACGTTTCCTTTAACGTTGACTGGTCCTTGTTCATGCTTTCCACTTTCTTTCTGGTCCGAGGCCCAATCTCTTCGTCCATCTCTGATCTCTAGGTTTTTGAGCATCGAAGTGACCCAGAGAAGCTTTCGCTTGGTATCTTTATAGGTTAACCCTTTCGCAGCATCCTTTTCAGTATCCTTGATAACCTCAGGCTTGGAACTTAAGCTTTGGGTATTTTCTCGATCATATTCCTTAGGTTGATATTTTGATTTCTCTGATGCGGGTCCTTTTTGATTTTTCTCCGGGTAATTTCTTTTCTCTTTTGTATCATCCTTCGGCTCCTCATTTTCAGTCTCTTTGTACCCGGCTGCCTCTTTTTCTTTTTTCTCTTGATTTTGCTTTAGATCAGCATACCAACCCTCTGATTTTACGTGATCCTTACTGTCGTCCTCGGATAATTCATTGTGCTGTACTCTATTTTTACTATCGGCAGAGTCCTGGACCCTAATATCATCTTGGGTCACCTTTGAGTCTGTATTCTTGAGATTATCCTTGTCCTTGTAAAGATCAAAGACGTCTCGGAGTCTCATCTTGTCTTCCTTAACGGATTGGTCCTTTGGACCACTGTCTTCTGTCATTTTGTCAGGTCCTAGTTGTGCCTTTTGCACTTTAACGTCGAATATCGTTGTAATTAATTTTCCTGGTACGTTATCACCTATGCCACTATTTCCTGATAACTCTTCCTTCACTTGACATATCCTTGCCAATGTTTCCTGCGGTCTCTTTGAAGTGGAATCGTCCAGCGATTTGACTGTGCTACGTTTTTGATCCTTCTTATCATCGCCCAAAGGATTTTCAACTTTTTCACCATTTTCCGGAACATGCCACACGTCGAACGTGTCTTCGTCCTTGGACTTTTTACCTTGAGGATCGTCCTGAGAAAAATTTTCCAGAATTTTGTCCTCGTGATCTGATTTTTCGCTTTTCTTCGGGTCCACTGTATTTTTGTCTTCAATTTTTTTCACGTTGCTCCTATCTTCAATAATCTCTTTCGGAAAGTCCTTGGCGATGTCAGCAAATTTTGAAATTTCATCCGTTTTCTTGTCTCCTCCATCATGCATCTCCAGTTGCGCTTCCATCGAAATTATCTTCAAGGATTCATTTTTATTGAAATTCTTAGTTTCAGGATCCACAGAATTTATACTCGATCCTTCGTTCTCCGATCCTTTACTTATTATTGAATCTTTTTCTGATCCTGTCTCCTTATTGTATCTCGCCGTTGAAAATTCCTCCTGCCCAACGGAATCATCCTTGTTCGCATTTTGGACCTCAGCCTTTTCAATGGTAAAATCCACTTTGTTATTTTTGATATTTTTTTCTCGATCCTGCAGACTCCTCAACGCTTTGGAATCTTCTATTTTCTTGGAATCATTATCAGACGATTTCCTAACTTCAGAATTCACTCTAATCGCCCGTCCAATTTTATCATTATCACTTCCCTTATTAACCCCTTCATCAACGTCTCCCATCAGATCCTCAAGGTCTTCTCTACTATCTCGTCTAAATCGATGCGAAACACTCTGACCGTCATTAGGGTAATATTCCCCAAACCCCGCTCTATAAAAAACTCCCACGCCGTTCCCATTTTCCTCATAATCACTTTTATCATTTCTATCCCTTTTGACTCTTCTCATTACATAGTCGAATTCCGAATTACGTCCATCCACCTCTTCGTCCTCTTCGTCGTCGTCGAGGTCATCGTCGCGCCTTTTGAAATCAAATATATCTGCAGCCGATCTAGGATCGTCCCACCATTTTAAATCTATGAAGAATTACATAAACGTAAGACAAGCCAATTATTAATTTTACAATTAAATAGCCCTACGGTACCACTTATTGAAACTCACTTGTTTCGCCATTTTTTTCATATGCATTTTCTTTCATTTTCACAGAATCCTGATTCATCCGCGAGGAAGACAGATCCCTCTCGTGTTCACCTTTAGAAGGACCTTCCTTATGACCAGTCATCTCCTCGACGTGCCTCTCTGCGTTTTTCGACTTCAAAACCCCAGCGCTCTCTTTTCTGGTCTCAGTTTTTGTGTCAGGCTCTGCGAGGCTCTTACTCAGCTCGAGTACGACCTTTTTCAATGATTCTAAAGAGGGTGAATCCTCCTCCGGCTTGGCCCCAATGCCAGACGGCTCTTCTGGATTCTGGGACGCGACTGAGTTCTTTGCCCCCGCGAGGTTACGGTGTTTTGAATCAAGATGACGTTCGTCCCGTGATGTTTTATCATCAACGTTTTTATTAGAGCCACCGCCAGAGTCTGTAAGTATTCAGAAAATTATTAGAACACGATTCTTGTAACTTTAATATTCTCTAACGTCAGTACGTCATTGAAATACCTGAATTCTCATTAGAAGCGGACGCCCACAGGTTCACGGTGTCTTCTTGAAAATCATCAGGATCAACGTCTCTCTTGAACTTCAATTCGTCATCGAGATACGTTCTCTCTGGAAATCCACGGTAATCATTCTCGTATTTTTTTTTCTCCGGCACCCAAGACGCATCAGGACCCTTCGCTTGATCCAAATCTCTTTTAACGCGGATCCTTGTCTGATATATATCCTTAGAGTTCAAATCAGACATCCGTCCGAATCTATCCGATCCGGACTGAAACCTAAGCACAGTAAGTCCAATTAATAAAATGATAATTAAAAACGAGCAAAAGATCAGATCACGTCACAGCTCACGTAATCGGTATCAACATTGATTACCTGTCAAAACGTTTCTCCCCAACGTCGACACGACGTACAGCCTGATCGATCCATTTAAGTTCGTTTTGTGCTTTCAGGACATTTTCGAGGAAGGAATTAAGTGCAGGACTATTGTCATCATGGTTATCCTGGACCGAGACATCATTCGCGCCAGCACTATGAAGGTGGGCAGTCTGTTAGAAAATATATATATGGGTATCAGAATGTACCAGAGTCAAAGGAAGAGGAAGTGACGTAACAGGCAGGAAGAAGAAAAAAATTTTGGTCCTAGTGCCCGGCAGGCCTTAAGGACGAGGGAAAAGGTGTCTGTCCCCGACAATCGTCCTCTACCCCACGAAGATCCAACCTAACCTAAAAGGAGTGAGCAGTGCGTTATAATAATGCCGCGGTCGCTGCTGTACGCGTTACGTTCGTTTCGCGTTTCTTGCGTGGAGACGCGAAAAGACAATGGGATCTACATAGAGCATAGAGCCGCAGATATGGCGGTGTTATTAAAAATTCACTCCCTCCAGCGGCTGAAGTGGCCTCTGGCAATCTGCATCTCATTCCCGGCGGGGGTCCTGGTTGCGCCAGCCACCGCAGCAGCTTGGTGGTTTTACGCCGGGGGTGAAGCGGAGACGGCAGGCAGGTTGTCATAAGGACGAACGCACAACGGAAGAGGCTGAGCGATAAAGGCGAAGGGGTGAAGACACGGGATGGAGAAACGTGACGAAGAACAAGGGAAAAACGAAGTGAAGGGGGAAGGAGGAAAAATAATAAAAGTAGAAAATTCTCATGAAAGACATAGAAGGAAACGTTATACCTAATTAAGGCTGGTATTCAACTAAATAAATCGCCCCGAGCTCTGGAGTACGGAACCAGACACGTCCTCGAGTTCTTCAGGAACCTGTGAATTCCCAGCAGGTAATTGTCCACGCGAAACTCCTGATTGTTGTGAAGCCCTTACTCTTGATTTTTTTTTCAGGTTATGTCTTCCCTTGGTGCTTTTTTGGACCGTGAAGAAATTTCATTACACGGCCAGTCCACATCCCCGTTACCACCAACAACCTCAGGAACGCTGTGTCGCGTTTTCAAATTTATGCTGAATTTTTTCAACCTCATACCGCGACGTTCGCGCGTGCAAACTCCCCCCCGTTTTTTTTTTTTACTTAGTTTAATCGTTTGAGAAATCAATCCTATTTGCTGGGACGCTCAGCAGACAACACTATGGCGGGCATAATCAATCACTGGTCGTTTTCGGGCTTCCAGAGTGTAGGCACCCAGGGGTGAGGTTTCTCACAGAGAAATAGGGGTGGTTCGAGTACGAGTGGTTGGGTAGACAGTTCGCATAGTTCCGAAACGGAAACGGTAATATCGCTGGCCCGGGGCGACCACCCCCTTTGTCATTTTGTCATCCGGCGCATAAGGACCGAACCGCTTGAGTGGGTAGGGGGCGTCCCGCAAAGAAATTAATGCCTGAGATATTAAAATGCCGTTGAGGGCTAGGATAAAAGATACGATGGACATCGTGGGACTCCCTTTGGATATTCTGACCGATTGGATTTTTTAATTCCTCTTTTTTTTAACCCCGTCGCTTTTTTCTTCCTTTACTTATCAGCCACCGTGCACTGTGCGGGTCCTAACGTCATTTCGTTGACTTACAATGTGTACGTATTATCTGGTATCATTTATCTCTTTGACTTTTATGTAAATTTATGCCTTTTTTTTCGTTCCATTGATACTTACGACTCTGTCAGTTTCTTTTGATTTTCCAACGTCTTTCAGGGTACCGGAAGTAACGAGATCGCTGCTGCCGTAGACGACGTTGTCCCGGACGTGACGATTTGTTGCAGCCTGCACGTAACTCCCATGAGAAAGCAACGCGATGAGACTGATAAAAGTGGCGGTCCAGGTGCGACTTGAGATAACGTCAGGATTGGACGGGGTATCGATCATTCTTATGAATCCGCCTGAAGGTAAGAGACAATTGGTGGATTTTAGCTTGGTTAATTTCTTTTTTTTTTTCCTTCATATTCAAGATAAAGAGAAGGGAGTCTTTGCCGTCTGAATAGGGTATTTTTAAAGGACGCCTTGACTACTGTCCCCTTCCCGTCATCCCTCGTTCTACTTGCACGCACTTTTACCCTTTCCTCAATCCCATTCTTCGAACGGTCTCTATAGTCGACTCCGCCATAGTACCAGTACATAACGAGCTATTAAAACCCGATCTCGGCGAGACATTAATTTCACGGTGCACATAACTTTCGTGTCACAATTTGCATTCCCGCTCGACTCTTAAGGCGGACCGGGAAATTAAAAACGTCCGATCGTAAAAGGGCGCGAAAAGAGGTTTGAATTATCGCAGGTCCTACCTTCTGCATCATAATCAGCCCTTGTTTTCATTGTTTGCGTGCTCTTTATTTCTCCCTTTCTTTTTTTTACACAGTAACCCCTCTATATATTTCAGGCTACCGATCGACTTGGGGGTTGCTTGAAAAAATCCTAAGACCGAAACTACAAGACCATTCTATTTTTCAGGTCCGAATCACCATGGCTATGCCTATTGCCCGGAAGTCACATTCTCCCGGGAGGCAGAGTTCACCGAAGATGTCTTAGCGTGCGTCTGGAAGCCACCCGAATAAGGAAAGCCCGTTTCTCGAGGACGAGCACGAGGAAGCGATAGACGGCAGACATAGTAGGAAAAAAAAAAGGAAAAACGGAAGTAGCGGTACCAGGCAGGGGTAGAAGGGTTTCAACCGAACATAATGTTCCGCATAAGAGCCATTAGGTTATTAAAAAGACAGTGGGCCCAGGATGTGGCAGGGAGGATCGAGGATGGGTGGTACAGACTGGAGAAGGGTGAAGTAGGGGGGTTGCGACCAGAGCAAGGAAGTTGCCGAACAAAGGCGTAAAATTAGCCCTGATAACTTCACGATGCAAGAGAGTCGGCTAGTAGCTACCTGGCTAGGAGAGGAGGTGGAAGACAAAGAGAAGAAGATGGGGTTTGAAGAGAGGAAGAAAAGTAGTATGAACAAAAAGAAAGGGAAAAATTTATATATCCGTATATATAATCACGAAGTACACACGCCAGTAAAAGTAATCGGGGATTTGCCGAGGGTCGAGTAACGATGAGGAGAGTTAGGAGAGGGTGGTTTCCGTGGCGGTGATTGCGGGGAGGACGAACAGGGCTGTGAAGTGAGACCGCGGCTGGGGCTCGGTAGGTAAGGGAAGAAAAAAGAAAGTTAAGCTGATTTTTTTATCGAAAAAAAATATATTCGTTTCCTCTTTATTTTTTCATATCGCACTCTCTACACTCAACCTTGAATCCAGTTCCTTTTTTTTTAACGCATCGCGACAAAATCACTCTCTATAGTCTCTCCACTCTCTGTCTATCTCATTCGACAAATTTAATCTACTTATCTGTACCATGTTTATTACCTGTCAAGTATCGGTTGGCGAATATCGCTTTCCCATTTATAAAATCATCCTCGGGTTTTAAATAAAGGATAAAGGTCCGTCGCTTAGACACGCGTATAAAAGACACACGTCGACCCCTTTTTTTGACGTTTCTTGAAACAAAAATGTCGAACGTCCGTCTTTCGGGCTGCGCTCGCTTGTCAATCTTCAAAACAATACGTTACTCTGTTATTAATCGTTGCCAACTTCACTGCTTTCGGGCTCGCGTTGCGCCTGCAGCTACTCAACCAGAGATGCACCGCGGTGCGTCGGGTCCGAATTAGCGAAATTCCGATCGCGGACGACCTCGCGTCTCGAAAATGTTCGTAAGGTCCTTCGGCTTGGTATAGTTTCAGAAATGCACTTAGAGAGTATATCAGAGAGGTGGGTCTGGGCGAGGGGGGTCCAAGGAGGGAACCAAAGGGTGTAAGATCGTAATGCGAATTTCGTTACGAGGCTTGCAGCCCTCGCCATGACCGTACAGGGTGTCTCCCCTCCCCTCCCCTCGAAAAGCATAAACTACGTAAATCTGTACATAAATTTTGGGGATGGGTGTGTGGGGG